CAACATTGTCTAAATCTACTTAAAAGTCTGACTGAAAAATAAATAGAAAACATTACATGTAAATCACTCATAAATTCTTAGTAGCAGATATCTTTTTTTTTTTTTAAGCCAAACAAATGTATTGTCTTATTGCTTATGAGACTAGAACTCAAAATTCATAACATGAGGGCAAATCCTTGTCCCAACTTCTCTAGCGCCAGTACTCTTCCATTCCTTGGTTATATCCATGTGGTTTTCATCTTTCCCCCATTTGTGCTTGCTTGGTTAGATGCCTAATATACTCTTTTTATATCACAAAATGATTAGGTTTAAGACACACCATATACTGATATGATCTCATTAATATAACAAAGAAAATCTCATTTCAAATAGGATTATATTCACAGGTATAAGAATTAGGATTCCAACACATATTTTTGGGAGACACAATTCAAACCATTACAGGAGTGTCCAGTGCAAAGTTACTCGTTGAGCTAAATATTTATCCATTTCCTCAAAGTCACAGTTAAACTAAGGATACACCCAGCTTACATTAATAAACCAAAGCTTAAGTACTGTAGCTGATTTATGGCCACTCCACATTTTATCTTGTTCCTTTACCCTTTCTCCCATATGCAGGTAGCAATGGTGTGTCTGAGTTCAACCTCCATAAACCTCCACTAACCTAGACATGCCCAGTGCAGAAAGACTTAGCACAGGCCCCAGCCTGGGATGCGCTAGGTCTGTTCCTGTCTTGTTATAGGGGTTACACATGTTCTGTTGCTTCTCCAAGGTGGATGTAGTGCTTTCTCAAATTGGGGTGGTTAGATTTGAGGCTGAGACTTGAGCTTTTAGTAGGCAGTAGGTGAAACTGACTTTTAGTAATAGATAACTTTTCATTTAATTTTTATTTTTAGGTGCAATGATGAAGAATCTTCTCCTGGTCGTGAATATCCTGGCATTAACTCTGCCCTTTTTAGTAAGTTAATTCCATCTAATCAATTTGTATTAAGACTTTATGAAAAAGTGTTCTAAGTATGCAAATTTCTAAATATAGTTATATTTCATTGAACACAATAGTTCTATTTTAGTTATGTTTGTTTTCTTTCATGCATTTTCATGTTTATTTTTATTATAAAATTGATGTCATGTTATTTTAGTTATACTTTAAGTATAATTTTAGTTCCCAGGAGCAAAGAAATCACATTTTATCAGGTATAGAAAATCTTTAAAGTTCTCAGACTATATAGAAGACACAGTCTGGGAGATAAAGAACAATACTAAAGTTATTTTATAATTTTAAGTATTTTAAAAATAATTCATAAAGAATAAAACAAAAACTATTATCCAGAGGCAAAAATTATTTCAAGTAAATTTCTACCCCATCCAGAATTCATTCTTTTATTTATTTATTTATTTATTTTAGGGGTTAAATTTTTTTAAGATTAGGAGCTTGGTTCAGCTTTATCACCAGTTCAAAGGCCTTGGCACAACTACCTTTAAATCCAAATCCTAGCTTTATCTTCCCTCTATGTCAACTGACTGGCTTCATTCCAGGCCTACATGACTATAAGCCCTATAGTTTTCATGCATCTTCTTGAATTACAGCCCATATTTTTAGGACATTGGACGATTGTTTTAATTTTTGGACTTAGTGTTGTTGTTTTTGCCATTGCTGTGTTGTATTTTCATGTTCACTCATATGTTTCACATTTAATGGTATACTACAGATAGTCCCTGACTTATGACCTATCTTACTTTTTTCTCTTTTTAGTTTTCATTATCATTGCCTTTTATGACCATTATACTTATAAATTTCATCTTTGAAAATCTGTGAGTGAACAACTGAGAATAATGTCATTGTTGTTAGTTGTTATCAAGGTGATTCCAACTCACAGTGACCCTATGCACAACAAAACGAGATACTGCCTGGTCCTGCGATACTCCCAGCTGTTCTTGTTTGAGCCCATTGTTGTAGCCACTGTATTAATCTGTGTCATTAAGGTCTTCCTCTTTTTTGCTGACCCTCTACTTTACCTAGCATGATGCCCTTCTTCCGGGACAAGTCTTTGCAAGTTCAAGTTAAGTGAGAAAAAGACTCACCATCTCTGACTATAGTTTTTCCAAGAAAGCAAATTATGTGCTGTAACATTATATGTAGTACTTAGTCTAATGATAACACATACAAAAAAACTAAGAAACATTCTGTCTGCACTTCTTCAGAGACAGCAAATTAAGTGCTGCAACATTATATGTTGTAGTACTTATTACTAATGATAAGGTGTGCAAAAATAATATAGTTGTGTTGGTAGTTGCCACTCAATAAGTTGTAAATCCAGGAGCACATTAATTGATAGCATATGTCTCAATTATAAAATAAATACATGAAAGACTATGAACTAAATGGAAAAATAATATGAGATATTATGCTTATAAAATACTAAAAACAAAAACAGAACACATATACCAACTGTTATATGTGGTGTTTAGACATCAAAAGTTTTAAGGGAGGGGGATAGGCAAGCTTTATAGAATGTCCATATTTATTACATTTTATACTTTAAACTAATTTAAGGAAAATCAAGATTGTGTGTCAGGATTTTCTTAATTTTATTACTTAACTCAAATTTCTTATTTTTGAGAGTTTTTTTTTATATTCAAAGTACATGTACATGAAGTTCTAAATGTAATTTAAAATAGCTAACATTACAAGATCCCCTTTATAAGTTTATAAAATATTTGTGAGTTTTTAAAACCCACTGCTGTTATAATTCAAAATGAGGAAAACTACTTAAAAACAAGTGAAAGGTGATGGGAAATTAAGAGCCATAATTCAACATTTATATACCCATGATATACCAGAGGGAATATTTTAAATCTTCTAAATAAATCTCAGGAATTACCTTTGTGTGAGAACAGAAAAAAAAATTTTTTTAAAGAACTATACTCAGTGTTTATCCATTTTTAATAATGGATCTTTAGTACAAACTGAATATATGTTATTTATATTTTTCATTATGAATAAACATAATTAAACATGTTTTGATATTTATTGGGATGGAGATCAAATTATATTATTTTCAATAATAAAATTTTCTCCTAGGTGTTAATTAACTTAAAGTGTGGTACTGTGGGTTAAAGGGCTAGACTACAAAGTTGGTTCGAACCGCAAGGTGGATGGTTCAAGCTCACAAGTTGCTCTTCGGAAACCCTATACAGAGTTGCTATGGGTCAGAACCAACTTGATGGCACTTAACAACAACAACATTTTAATCAGTATATTACTGTTGCCACTTGAGTGATTTAAAGGTCATATGTTGTTGAATAATAATAGAAAATGCTTTTCAATGCTACATTGAAAGCCAAGATGGACATTTTTGCTTGAACATGTCAGATAATTTTTAAAACTACAAAAATGTTGAGGCTCTGCCTTGCTTTTCTTTATTTCTTTTTCCTTATTATTATTCATTTTCTTGTTTTTCTTTTCTGAACCTCATCAGGCTGCAGAGGTACAAAACCAGGATCAGCCAACAGTAAGTTTATTATAATCATTTCTATTAGAGTTATAAACTCAAAAGTACATTTCTTCTGCAAATTTAATGACATTAAAATGTTTTTTGTTTAAGAATTAAATAAGTACTGTAAATTCCACAAAATCATATGAGTTTTTGGGGAAAAAAACACTTAAACAAACAATCATATGACTCAAGCTCAATATCCATTGGAAAGTTGGTTTCATTTTAGAACCTAAGTCATTCGTTTTCATGGATATTTAACAACATGAGGAAACTCTCAGCATTTAATATTAGAAAAAATAGCAATGAAAGGAAAGCTTTTAATATTTCACCTGCCCTATTTTTTTAAACCCTATACCATGTAGCTCTGAGTTGGAACCGACTCAATGGCACCTAACAACAACAACTAACAAATTGCTATAATTGTACATAATAGAAAAATCAGGCAAATATTAAAAGAATATTTTATAACTAGTCTCTCTTAGGAAAGTAAGGTGAGAAAACCCAAAGTATAAAATCTCAGTACTCTTTCCCACCTCTTCTATATCATATTATTTTAATATTCTGTTAAATTTGTTTAGAAAAAAGCCCAAAAGTACTGACGGTCTAACTTCTAAAACAAATAAGGTTTTTAAAGAATTACAAATAGGTGACGATATACATATATTTCTTTAGCATGTCAAAGTTCTTGGAAATTTATCTAGCTGTTTTTTATTAAATATTATTATACATATTAACAATTATATATCATTCATTAATCATATCCTATATAAAGAACTCTTGTAGCACTAACCACAAGGTCAGCAGTTCGAAACTACCAGATCCTTATGGCAGAAAGATCAGGCTTCCTACTCCTGTAATGATGTACAACCTTGGAAACCCTATACAGGCTGCTATGAGTTGGGACCAACCCCAAGGCATACAACCATCATTACTAGCATATTCTTCATATGTTAAGCTCTGAGAAATGTGGCTTAATTGTGTATTATCTCATCTGATGCATTTGAAGCAAACATTATTTTTCATATTTGCTAAAAATCATGACATGTAAAGGACATCTCCAAATCCATACTACTTCTAATATTGTACTTACTCGTTGCCATATATCTTAATATTATTTTTAACACTGTTGGTTTAAGATATCTCTGCATTACAATATATAATAATGACATTTCACATGATTGTTTTTTGTTATTACAGAACTGTGAAAATGATGAAAAATACTTCATTCCAAAAGCAGTCCCAATTTATATCCCGGTTAATTATTTTCTGAAAAGTGATTCTCATTATAGTCCAATTTATTACCAACAGAAACCAGCTGTCCCTTTCTATTATCCATACATGCTTCACCAATATTCTACAAAACCATTTGTATTTAGGACACATATCCAAATTCCTCAGCAGCAAGTTTCATCAAATATTTACACATCCCCAATGTTACATCCTACATCCTTCGTTGTCGTTCCCCCAAAGAAAATGCAGGATAAAGCCATAGTTCCTACCACAGACATCTTTGCTTCTATTGACCCTACACATATCCCTACCACTGAACCAACAAAGAACACTGTTGAAACTCCTGAAGTTCCCACAGATGTCATCACCAAAGACACACCTGAGACCATCAGAGAATCAATTACTTCACCTCTGGACCAAAACCACTAAGGTATGTGAGCAAAATATGAAAATGAATAATCAGACAAGATACATGAATTTACTAATAAAATAATAAATTCTAAAAGAGTAATGAAATAAGTTTTGTGTGGCAGCAGGCAAAATGGGCTAATAATAAATATAATAATATTATATTTATTATATTAATAATAATAATACGTATTTTATATTTGTTGGTGTCAGAGCAGTGAAGTGAACTACTAAATTCTGTAAAAATAATTTTTTTTAATTTTAATTTACAAAAAGAAAAAATTAGGTGTTTTATTATGAAACATTGATTTTTCAATGAATTTACTATGTTTATCTCATTGCTATTCATATACAATGGAATCCTGGTGTGGCTTTGTGGGTTAATGGGCTGGACTGCAAAGCTGGTTTGAACGGCAAGGTCAACCATTCAAACTCACCAGTCCAGTTGTGCCTCTGAAACCTTGTACAGGGTCGCTATGTCAGAACCGACTCGACGGCGCTTAACAACAACAATTCATATACAAACTAAGATAGCAGAGTAAAATACTATTTAAAACTTTCATGACTTTTCTTGTCTGAAAAATGAGTCTTTTTTAGAACAAGTTATATATATTAGATTCAATATTTCTAACTACTTAAGCTCACACACTCTAATTTTGTTAGACAGTGAGAGCAAAAGGTCTGTTTCCTCTGAATTACTTATTTCAATCGCTGTTTCTGAATTGATCTACAAAGTTAGGCACCAGATAGCCAAGATAAGCCCATGAAAGAATTATAATGCTGAACTTGAAAAACATACAAAAATTAAGAAGGATACCTTTAAAACCCTGAATATAATGTAAAATGTTACTGTTTGTAACAGATATTTTCCTTACATTCTACTATTTACCTGCTTTGTGATCTGATAGAAATAGCATCAGACTGGGGGCAAAATGCTTCTTTCTTATATTAACTCTTTGTCAAGTCATTATTGTTTATAAACATTTTCTCATATGTGATACTCAAATGAGAATGCACATGTGAAAGAATTTTAAAAACAAGTCAATTTCTATAATGTAATGTACTAGAAAAGATAAAAGTAAAAACAATAAATACCAAAAAGTATTTTATCCAATAGCCTAAAACCTAATAAAAACTTTATATAATTATCTGTTGATTCGTATAGCAATCATTTACATGAACCAGATTTTATTAGTATCTTAAATTTCTGAATAAAAAAGTAGACCTAAAGCTGTTAACTAAATTACCACAAACTGACAGTGTCAAAACTGGCAATCAAACCAAACATGTCTTATTTCATACCCGTTAAATGCCTTCTAGTCAATTTTGACTGACCAATAGTGACCTATACAGGGTTTCCAACATTGTAAATTTTTATAGGACTAGATGACCTCTTCTTTCTTCCATGGAGGGTTAGTGGATTTGAACTGGAAACCTGAAGTTAATAGCTCAATGCTGAACCCACTACACCACCAGGGTTCTATTGATTTCATAACCACCCACAGCCATTGCATGGAATTCGACTCATATCGACCCTGTATAGAATTTTTGAGACTGTAACTCTTTATGAAAGCAGAAAGCTTCATCTTTCTCCCTTGGAGTAACTGATGGACTTGAACTGCCAACCTTATAGAATAAGCACAGATTAAGTCTTGTGCTTGTTGTACAGCACCACCAATGGGGCTTAATTGCCATGCAATGGGGCTTAATTACCATGCTTCCGGGTTTCTTGCATGGAACAACAGGATGAACTCGTCTCATACCTTTTAGTTGATGCAAACCTTTACAACACCATTTTATGGTTTGGGGGTCCTGTAGGATAAGCACTGGACAGTTAATGCAATATTGTAGTTCAAACCCAATAGCTGCTGTGCTTTTTCCAACACAGATCTGTTGGTTCTTATGTCAGTCCATGGTACTTTCAATATTCACTTCCAACACCATAACTCAAATGCATCAATTCTCCTGTGGTCTTTCTTCCTTATTCACTGTCCAACTTTTGCATGTGCTTTCAGTTATTGAAAATACCATGACTTGGGTTAAGCGCAACTTAGTCCTCACACTGACATCTTTGTTCAACACTTTAAAGAGATCTTGTGCAGCTGATTTGCCTAATGCAGTACATCATTTGTTAT